TCAAAAGTAGCATTATTCAGAATAGTAAAAAAAAAAAAAAAATGGAAAGAAACCAAATGTCTATCAACTGATGAACAGAGTCAGGAAAGATGGCATATACATGCAATGGAATAGTATTTGGCAATAGAAAAGGAAAAAAGGATACACTATGACATAAATGAACACTGAAAACATAAGTAAAAGAAATCAATTATCATTTTAAAAAAAAAGGTATGATTCCTTACTTATAAAATGTCAAAAGAGACAAATTCAATGAGTCAGAAAGTGGACTCATAGTTCCCAAAGGAAGCTATTACTAATGAATATGTGGTTTTCCTTCAGGGAGATAAAAATATTTTTAAATTCAAAAGTGGTGAATGCACAACTCTGAAAATATCAAAACCACCGAACTGTATGTTGGAATTAGGTGACTAGTACATATTAATTTTATATCAATAAAATGGTTTTTTAAGTTTTCACAGCGCAATTTCATTTCCAGGAAGAACTGGAAAGTCTAAGTACACAGACTGACAACCTAGTAAGGAGAAGCAAAGTCACCGAAAGTGTTTTATTCAGATGGAAGCCAAATTGACTTTTCTGTGCCAAAAACATACTACATTATAAAAGCATGGATGGGGGCCCTCCCTAGTGATATAGTGGTTGAAGCATAGCACTATGAGCTGTCTGCAGCCAAAGCAGTACGAATTCAATCCCCATCAGGAACCCACCTGGCATGGCAGACCTCTCCTGACCCACCTGCTGCTCCCCTCAGCAGTGCATTTCAGTACATCTGCCTGTTCAACTCCCCATCCTGTCTCTGGTGAATCCTTTCAATACCTGCACCTCTTGCCTGTACCCTAGTTCTATATGCATAAAAATTAATAAATCTTTTTTTTTAAAGCATGGATGGAAATGTATATGGAAATCAAAGACAGTGTGAGGTGATTTGATTCAATACATTACGAATTCACCTACTCAGGCTGGTAACTATTGACTCCACATTTCAAACTCATTACATCACTTCAAAACAAGTTATTCTTCATAAACAACTAGGTTTCTAGACATACCAAAAAACATAAAGGAGATGGAAAAGGGCTATTGATTTATTACATTATTATTGGCTACCATTATGTGTAGTTACAAATAATAAACATCTATTACTTTAACAGTTTCTATCAAACATTTAACTAAGGAACTCAAAGAATTATCCAACTATTATCCAGTTCAATTCAACTAGTATCAAAAGCACAAGTATAATTCTTTCTAACAAGTAACATAAATAGTGCTGGTATCCAATATGAATTTGTTGAAAGATTATAAACAAACATGAGCAAAAATGGTGCTTATCCATATCATCTGTGAAATAAATTCAATTAGTCAAGCCAGAAGAAAAAAGAAAAATATTGAATGGTTTGACTTAAAGGAGGAATATAGGAGAAACAAAAAAGGGACCAGAAAAAAAAAAACAATAATAAATAAATAAACAAAATTAGCAGGCAACTATAAATCAGAGAGATTCTGCAAGGGATGGGGAGACTGAAAGATCAAAACAGGAGGGAAGAGCACAAGGAACTATATATATGTAAACATTAAAAAAAATTCAACTAGTCTAGTCCCAGCCTTTCCTTTAAAACAAATACAATAACCACCTCAAGGAATCAAGCCACTGACAAGCTGGACCTTTACTTGGAGTCATCAATTTCACACTGGTTCATTATAAACCATTAATAAGTAAAGGGGAGTTAGTTTAAAAATAAGAACCAGGGGCATACCTGGTGGCGTAGGGGGTAAAGTCTCAGCACTATCAAGCTAGTGCCAGCCAGTGAGGCATGAGTTTGATCCTAGGACACGTTACAATGGACCGTTCCTGTCTCACCTGCTGCTCCCCTCAGCAATGTATTTCAGTAGATCTGCCTGTTCTGCTTCCTACTCTGTCTCTGACAAATTCTCTTACCCGCCACCCATCCCCACCCTGCGCGCGTGCGCACACACACACACACACACACCTCTGACCAAAACCCAGTTCTTATATGCATAAATAAAAATAAATCTATAAAAAAACATAAATAAAAATAAGAAATGCACATAAGGTGGTTTGAAAAGAGAAAAGAAATCTGAGTTTTCTGTTTTAAAATATTTTAAAGTAAAATTTCAGGATAGTACACACACTTGTTGGTTACTGTTCACAGTGCTAATTTCTTTTTTAAAGAGCAAATTTATAAAATCTCTTAAATGCCTCCAGTGATGGTAAGCACAGATGACAAGTAATCTGTGCAGGAAAAGTTTAGAGGTAAGAGGCTGGGTCAATCTTTTCAAGTCAAGGTTCTCCAAGCACTGGGATTATAAATCCAAGGAAAGTAGGAGAAAGAAAAAAATCAATCTTGAAAAGTTACCTCCAAAGAATTAATTGGAAATGGTGATTCCAAATCTTTTTGAGTCTTTGATTTCACACTACCCTCTACTAAGAGTGGTACATGACATATATTTAATGAAAGGGAATCTAAACTATTTGACTCTTTCAAGATCCATAGCATATCCAAAGCTATTCCAAGATGATACATAAAAAAAAAAAAAAAACCTAACAAATACTACTTACACAAACCTTGGAAAGAATTATTTGAATAAAAATACATACATAATACATACATTTCTTGAGTTATTTTAAACACAGTAAATCATGTCCCCTATGGTTGGAATATTATAGTTATTCCAAGTTGCTGGATTTTTGCTAAAGTAGGGCACTAAAACAGTTTTCAAAAAAAGAAACACAGCAATCGTACAAAGGAAATATCTTCACCTAACAGTGGGCCTCTGGAAATCCCACTGAAAAAAATCTATTTAGATAATATGGGAAGTGTATTTGAATTTGTTTAAAGAAAAAAAAATAAATGAAAAACTCAGTTGTCTATGCCTGGAGGTAGGAGAAACAAGCACATTGAATCAGAATCTTATGCTATTCTAAATACTGTTCCATCCTCCATTTAATTTTCATCAGTACAGACTTTATCATAATAAACCCTTTCTTCTTTCCTAATCTGTGAATTTTGTCTTTTGGGGAGCTTCATGAAACTGTTTCCCAAGTTAACTTGCCTTCTAACTGACTGTAAATGTCTTTGGAACCTAAAAACTCTGAGCCTCAACTGGATTTTCAGGAGAATTTCATTAACAATGTTTGTATGGTCAAATTCTTAGAGAACAATGAATTAAGATCACCACTAATAAACAAGTCTAGAAGGAACTTTATGATCCATATAAGTTTGAAGAAAACAGAAATGTCTTTTGTATAGCTCTGACATTTTCAGAAATGTATCCATACTTCTATCTTTTCTGAAAATAAAAGGGAGCAAATAGAATTGTCAGTAGGGTCCAAGTGATGTCCAAGGTGGAAAACAGGTCCATCTAAGCCAAGTCAAAGCAAACATCAAGGAAAAAATCAGTCACCTCTTCAAAACATCTGCAAAAGCAGTGTTAACAAATCAAAGTGCTATGCAAAGAGTTGAAATAAGGGCAATCTCCAAAGCAAGTTATAAGAGTATTAAGAACATGAGAAGCAGACATAATTATTTATTAAATATCTATACTTTGCTATGCCCTTTACCAACATACTGTCTTCTATTTCAACAGCATTCAAATTTTGAGTCCAACTGGGGGGGAAATTTCTCCCAACATCAACTTTCTTAAGGGTTAAAGTTACCAATGAGGAAAATCAATGCTATATATGGGGGTGGGGGGTACAGAAATAAAAGAAGCAGCCACTTCTATTATCTCCCCAACAATCTACACTTGAAGTAAATGTGACAACACTGGAATTGAACTCCCAGTAATATACAATGCATTGTTCCTATTACCTAGTAGGTATTCAGTAAACATTTGCTGTTTGCTAAATGAATACTGTGAGATCTTAAAACACAGGGTTTTTTTGCTTTGTTAACATGCATTTAACACTTCACTCATAAGGACACATCTTAATACACATGCACACACATCTAGATATAGCCACGTTGGTATCCAGTCCTGAAAATGCCCTCAAAAAAAAAGGTTACTACCATAATAGTAGGACAAGGACAGCATGACAATTAGAGAAACTGCAAGGGGAAATTCCAAACACTTAAAATTCTTCCAGTCTTTTTGATGACCATTAACTAACTGGAATTCACAGCTGTCTACCCAAAAGCAATCTATTTCTATTTTGAAACTTTAAGACTGCTCTTGCCCAAATCACATAAAATCACATCCTTATAAACGTCACAGCAAAGAATTTAGATTTGAAGGGAAGACACATATTTACAAGTAAAATGCTACCTGTTCAACAAACCTCAACAGAAATGTGAATACAGATTTTATCATTTGAAGAACAGCTACCAGAAGTACAGCTACATTTTTATTAACCATCATCTCAATTCGTAGATCTTTACTCCCCTGAGCAAGTGTGTGGTATTCTGTGTTTTTTCATCCTGTGTTTATTCTGTACTTCAAGCGCAAGTTGAGAAGTAAGCTGCGTTTTGCTGTGGGTTTTAAAAAAAATGTCTCAAGACACCATAGAGTTTAACTCCACCGGGTTATTTACCAGCAGGTCGATGTTCCAGAGAATCAAACCACAAAATAAGCTCTTTGAAAATCATTTCATAGAGGGAATAAACTGGAGTGCAAAACACATCAGTCATTTGTTTCTCGCTCTTGAGAAGCCAGAGCTCCAACCAGGGCTGCGTCCTGGCACCCGGCGGGTACAGCCCCTCGCCCAGCCCGACGCGTTCGGTCAAGGCTCCGCGGGGAAACTAAGCACTACCAGGACCAGGATCTGTCACGGTGGCCGAAAGCCCCAGGAATTCTTCTGCTCCCATCTAGGGGTCTAGAGTCAACTGTCTCCGCTGAACTTCACCGCAGCTACCCCCGCATTAACCCTCCAACTACCTGCACTTTGCCAGGCACCCGGACACCCACGGTGGCTGCGGGAACCCCATCCCGGCTCCCCGAGTCTGTGCCCCGAGGGAAACCCACCCGGGAGGCGGCCGCGAGCTTACCGAGCAGTGAGCCTATGAAGATGACGACTTGCACCGTGGTGGTGAATTGGCGGTACAGCTGCGCCTCGCCGAACCCCCCCAGCGCACTCCGGTTGGCGCCCGTCGCCTCAGCGCCCGACGCGTTGCGCGGCTCGCTGGCGTTTCGGGAGATCCAGCTGCCGTTGTGCCCCATGGCGAGGCCGGGGCGCCAGCTCCGCTCGCCGCCGGCCTCGAAGCCCTGCGCCTGGCGCTCTCCTGCCCCGGGCGCGGAGGGACGCGCCGGTGCTCGGTGGAGTTGAAGGACCCGGGGCAGCCGCCGGTCCCCTCACGTCTCCTCATCGCCAACCCCAGCGCCCGGGAGGCGGGGAGGGACTAGGGAGAGGCTGCGCCCCATACCCGTTCCCACCTGGATCCCCGTCAGCAGCCACATGAAGGCGGTCAGAACCCGCCGGGCGTCGTCCGTCCCTCCTCCCGGGGGGTCAGCGCGGCCAAGCCCACTCAGCAGAGACAGAAACAGGAGGAGGCATTTGGTGGTCAAGGAGGGCGCTCTCGGCTCCCGCCGCCCCCCTTCAACCTCTGTTCCTCCCACCCTTCGAGGGTCGGGGCATCCCTCGCGAGTGCCCCCAGGTTGACAGGCTCAGTCTTTCTCCTTAAAGGACTGGAAACATCTGGCGGAAGCTGCTTTTTAAACCTGTCGATGTAGATGTGAAATGGCGATGGGGAACCCGTGGAAAGCACGAGCCAAGTGGTCCGAGCCCCGAGGGGACCCCCGAGTCCCCGACGGGGCCCATGGCCTGAGCGGAACGCCCTAAATTTCCCCCAGCAGCCTCGCCCTCCACGTCTGGTCGTGTCCCAAGACGCCTGTGAGGTCTCCTCAGACCCAGTCCCTCGCTGGGGGCTCCAACCTTTCGCCTCGGCAGTAGGTTGGCTGAGGGGCACCCTGTTCCGCAGCCCCTTTGCCAGACACCGCCTAGAGCTCTCTTTCCTGGCTCCTGTCAGCTGGAAGGGTGCTACACAACGACGCCGAGACGCGGGAGTACGCCCCTACCGGGGAAGGGGCACTGTCAACACAGCCGCCCGACTCCTGGCGCGCGCCCAGGGCGGCGGAGGTGGGGGCTTGAGTGGAAGACCCGTTCCCTGGGGATGGTCACGTGAGTACAGGCCCCGCCCCACGCCGAGGCCGCCGCGGGGACGGCGCCATCTTGCCAGCCCCCTCTCCCTGCCAGAGCGTGGTTGCTTGTCGCGGAGCGTGGGAGGCGCGGGTGACCGGCTTGGACTGCTTGGACGCTCTCGCGGCACGTCAGGGGAGCGTCGTTCCGCATCCTACTGTCATTACTGCGCTTTTTCTCGTCCTCAGAGACGACCCCAAGCCGTTAGTTACAAGTAGTCTCCTCCATAACAGCGAGTCCAGCTTCCCGGCTTCTCAGTCAGGCCTTGATGGAACTGAAGATGACATGTAGAAATCCGGTTGGGTTTCTTAGGCGATCTTAGAGCACCTCATTTCCAAAATGTGCACAGTGTGATTCAGATCTCATGGGTTCCGGGACTCGACTGGTGGGCTGGGAAGGGAACAACTTCCTGCAGGCTGGTTAATGCACGAGGATGGAAAGCCCAGGTTGTAAACAAGAAGAAACTGTAAAGAGAAGTTGAATGGGCATAAGGGCTGTCTGACAGAAGGGATCTGGGCCATCAAGAAATGGAAAAATTAGAAAAACATTGATGTTCTTGGTTTAACTTCACTGGTTTATTTAATGAATGGTAGAGAATTTTGACATAGGGAATAATAAAATCCCAGGAGAGTAGCTCTTTAAAAATTATTAAAGTAACAGATTGACTAGGGCCTTCCCTGGTGGCACAGCTCAGCACTATGGGGCTCCCCATTCTGTCTCTGGTGGATCTCTGGCTCCAGCACCTTTAGCCTGTGCCCCCATTCCTGTATGAATAAATAAATAAATCTTCAAAAAAGAATTGACTTTTTGGTTTTCTCGAGAGTGATCTTGTCACGTGTGAGTTACTTCACATTCAATTATAACCCTTATTACTCTTCTTGAAATGACAAAACCCCTAGCTTACACCTCTTTGGATTCTCTCAATACCTACAATCATACTCCTTTATATAAGCAGTTACTTTAAATACTTTGGAGTACAAACAGGGGGAATTGCTTATTATGTAACAGGGTGGTCCCTAGGAAAAGGGGAAGTTCCAGGTTCCTTGCCCCACCCAGAAGTACGGTGGAGCTGAGAAGAGAAAAAGAGAAGAGAAGGAATCTGAGGGAAAATGAAGCAGAATGGAGAGCCAGAAGGAGACCTGAGGAAGCCACATGGAGCAGGAAGCATGTGAAGAAACCGTGTTTGTTTCTTGGCTCTGGACTGGTTGAAAGTGATGTGGGTGAAAGACTCATGGGGAGGTTGACTATGGCAGTGTTTATATTGATTTTGATTGTACTCTTTTCCTCCCAGACTTGTCTGGCCATGTCTGACCCTTTTGTATGGGTCCCAGCCAGAAGGTGCTTTAATCTTGTGGAGGGATTTCAGGCCTTGCTTTGGACCAGTCCCTTCTGGGTTGATTTTTGCCCACGAGGGGATGGGTAACTTCAGGTGTTTGATTTAGAAATTATATTCTTTGTCTTCTATATTGTATACTAACTGTGTTAAAGTCCCTTTTCATTAAAGTCTTACATGTTTTGTCTTGATGCGGTGGATGGCAGAACCTATTTAGAGCAGGCAGATTTGGGGGTTCAGTGGTGCCCCTCTCTCCCTGCCCTGTAACAATTACACTAATCCTATTTTCCAACATTAAAAAGAAGCCATCTCCACTAAGCATTTGTGGGGGAGTCCAGGGGACAGATTAAAACATTTTCATTATAGGGCCCTCCCTAGTGGCACAGCTGGTTAAAGCACAGCACAATGAAGCCATCCGCAGCCACTGCCACTGCAAGTGCAGCACCAGTTCTATCCCTGGCTGGGGAGGTGACCCACATGGTGTGGCACACCTCTCCTATTTGTCTGCTGCTCCCCTCAGCAGTGTATTTCAGTCAGCCTGTCCTGTTCCCCACTCTGTCTCTGGTGAATACACACATACACACCTCTGTTCTATACCCCAGTTCTTGTATGCATAAATAAATAAATCTTTTAAAAATTTTTCATTATTAAAATACCCCCTTACTCAACTTTGCTTGTCAATCCTCTGAAAACTGCCAAGAAGACTGAGCCAAAGGTATATAAAAGAGTCAACTTTGCAGATGTAAGGTGTATTTAATAAAGCAAAAAACTATCATTTTTGTATTCTGGAAATACACCACTTAAATCTCTACAGCTCAAAACTGGGATTAGGAGCAAATAGTGCTAGTGAAGTCAAGAAAGAACCCCATTTGTTGTGAGCACCATGTGATCAATGTTGGGGAAGGTCTGCTTGGTTACAATAGAGAACCAAGAACAGGAAGAAGGCTGTGATTCTTACACCTGTGTTACATGAATTTTCACTTCTATCAGATTGCCTACAAGTGGATGTGAAGTTATTCAATTTAAGATTTATGCAAAAGATTAAACATGATTTAAACATATATGGTGTCTATATCTGTCTAATCATAAATTTAGTGGCTTAAGCAACAGCAAATATTTGCTTTGTTAACAAATATGCAAGTGGGGCAATGCTTAATGGGACAGTTTGTCAGCTCCATATGATATCAGCTGAAGCAGCTCAAAGTCTACTTCTGGGCTTGGAATCTAAAGGCTTATTTGCTCACATACATGGCAGTTGAGTCTGGCTGTTGTTGGGACCTCAGTTGGAACTGTTGACTGTAATAGTACATGAAGCCTCTCCATGCAGCTGACTGATTTCTTCATGGCCTGACAGCTACAATCCAAGAGAGTTTCAAGAGAACAAACAAGACATTTCACTATTTTTGTGACCTAACCTCAGAAGTCACATAGTGTCACTTCCACTATAATTCTGCAAAGCAGTCACAAAACCACCACATTTAAGGGAAAAGGACATACCACACCTCTCTATGGGAAGAGAGTTAGCAGTACTATAAGAAGAGTATGTAGAATGAGAGATATTGTTGCAATCATTTAAGCAAAATAGATTCTATTTCTCATTTGTTAAAAAGAGCCTTCAAAACTTCTCATTCCAGACATGTATTCTTTCTGGAATTAAACCTGAAGAAATAAAAAAATCACTTAAATTCATTATGGTTCAGGGGCCTTCCTAGTAGTGCAAGGGGTTAAGTCTCAGCAGTCTGAAGCAATTCCCAGCCAGGGAGCTGACCCCCTTAGTCACTTGGCACAGCAGACCTCTCCTGTTTCTCTTGCTGCTCCCCTCAGCAGCATCTGCCTGTTCTGCTCCCCACTCTGTCTCTGGTGAATCCTCACACCTCTGAATCCTGCACCTCTGGCCTGTACCCCAGCTCTTGTATGCATAAATAAATATTATTAAAATTAATTATGGTCCATTTTAAGTACATACATGTACAGGAGTTACATGGATATCTGTTTGCCAGTATTAACTTCTGATGGCAATCGTGTACACAGTCATAGCTATACGCAGGTGATTAGGACCACTAGCCAACACATTTATGTGCTAAATGGCTTTCTGGAGCTATATGAAAAGCAAGTAATGGAAGCTGGAGTAAAAATTAGGCAACCTAGGTTCTTAGATAATACCACTACAAGTAATTTTTATTTTCCTTTTATAAGTAGTATAAGAAGGTATACTCCCAGTTAAATATACCTTATATCATGGCCCTCCCTGGTGGCGCAGCGGGTTAAAGCACAGCATTAAGAAGCTAACGCCACTTCTGCATGAGTTCGATCCCTGCCTGCCCTGGAGGTGACCACATGGCGCGGCAGACCTCTCCTGACCCGCCCGGTGCTCCCCTCAGCAGTGTGCTTCGTGGATCTGCCTGTTCTGCTCCCGGCTCTGTCTCTGGTGAATCCTATCACCCTCCACATCTCTGGCCTGTACCCCAGTTCTGTATGAATAAATAAATCTTTAAAAAAAATACCTTATATCCCAAGTGCCCACCATTTTAAAGTTCAGCACTCAGGACACATTTCCCTATTAAAAAAAAAAAATTAAACATGATGACAGGGTTCCCAGGCAGAGTGGGAGCAAAAGGACTCCCAGTAACATACTGCTCAGTGTAGGTCTGCCTCCCTCTGCAAAGTTCTGCTTCCTTCAATCTTTGCAGGCTTAAGAGTTAACCTCCTCCTTGAGCCTACTGCTCACTTATTTCACAAATGTTAAAGCTCTTGAGCTGAGAAGGCAGGAATACAATAGTGTAAATTATTTACTCCTCTGGTCTCAAGTCTATTGTCTTTTATACAGGAACAACATCATCAGCATTCCACATTCTCAAAGTCTGTGGATTGGAGTAGGAGCCATATCATCAGTTCTCCTGGGTCACTGGCTTGGTGACAGCCAATTTTGAAACTTAGCCTCCTTATATTGATCTCTGGAGAACAATGGCTAATTAAACATCTACTTCTCTGATTTTGGTCTTACATTACTATGATACAGTACTAGTCAAAATTGGTATAAAATGACTAACAACAAGTCATTCCATACCTAGAATGTAATAGGAAATATTTATAGTCAAAATAATTGGGCATTTATTGAAGAGCAGGAAGGGGGTTCGGTAGAGGAAAGCAGAGATGCAATTTAGGATAATTGTAAAGACAAGGTGGTGGAGAAGTGTGGAGGTGTTTAAGGCTTTTATTTTCCCTTCCTTCTTCCTTTTCATGATTGAGGGAGCTCCTCTCTCCTTTGCCCCACTGTACATGTTCCAATGTGGCCTTTCAATAAAGGTGGACAAAAGAGAAAAGCTGGAGAAATGGGACTACTTGGGGTTGGTAAGCCCAAGCAACAACTTAACAACTTATTGAGAAAAGAAGGTCCTTAAGGCCCCTGGTTACCCATTTGGAATAAATGTAAATGTTGAAGAATATAATTTCTCACCACCTCTATAGGGTAGGGGGGGTGCCTCTTTTACAGTTTATAGTTAACTTAGACACTGACACATTCATTCCTGTATTCTTGATCATAACAAACATCTAAGAATTGATCTGATTTTTTTGTGAAGAGCCAAAAGTTGTCTAGGACCAATTCTGGTGAATTAAATGATCTAGCCAGTAATATCTTTTTTCA